CCGAGTTGTTCAGAAGTGACACCGAGGATGAATTGAATGGATTTAGTGATTTGGAGTGAGATGGAGAGTTTGGTAAACTTGTTCTGTTCTGTTGTTTATGCTCTAGTTATCTATAAATCATGTACCTTTAACGTTTATGTGCACTTCTAGATTTATTTTTCGACACTAAACTGTTTGCACTGCGCAGACAATAACACAGCAGTACTTAAAGGTGCAAATCCAAGGAGAAGTATCCACAGAGGAGAAATCTGCAGAGCACTCAGGTGGCACACGTCCAAAAAATGATTTTATTTTGGATGTTTTGGCAAACAGCCTCGGTCAGATCATTTTTCTTTCAGTCTTTGAAGTACACTGAAGTACACTGTGGTTCAAAGACAAAGGAAGAAAAATGAGCTGACCAGAGCTGTCTGCCAAAACCCGTCCAGAACGAATGTGGTGTAACAAAACTGCACCAACATCGCAGAGCTGAAGGCAAAACCTGAACAAGACTCAATATAAATATAAGCACGAGTTACACAAGACTCAGCAGAACAGGTCGAACGAATTTTAAAACTTGTTCTAACTTGGTGCACTTCAAAAAACTAAAATAAAAATCTAATCTTACAGAAAAACAAAGATGACCGGATCCATTTTCTTTAAGTAAAACCACGACTATTGACTGAACACGAGCTTTTCTTTAACATTTTCTTTAACATGACCTTTTATTTTGTACGATCATAAACGATAAACTTTTGTGCCTTTGTTTTAACACTATCACTAGTTTGTATGAACATAAACAAAAAAAATTGGCATCTTTTAAAAAAATTAAGATACTAACTAATTAAAAAAGTGATTGTATTTCTATTTGAGGCGTTAGTTTATGGAACAATCTAAGTGTGGAAGCCTTTAAAAGAAAAAGTAGAAAGAAAAGAGTATAAAGCGTTTTAAAGTATAAAGTGTTTTGAAAGATATAGAGCTCTGGAATTAATTAATTATGCATAAAATTTGGTTGTTTTAATTTACATTTTGTCTCTTTTATATACAGTATGTTGTAAGTGAAATTGCAAACACAAAGTTGCTGTTTTTGCTGCTTTTCTTTCTTGGAATTCTGTCATTGTTTAATAGGGTTTGGCGTTAGAAGAACTTTTTACTTCAACCTAAACCCTTTCGGTCAGGATCCATGGGGTTAAGATAAGATAAGATAAGATAATCCTTTATTGTCTCCCATGGGAGAAATTTGTCTTGGGACAGGGGGTAACATGTTTTATCAAAAAACAGGACGACACAACACAAAGCAGCACATAAACAAACACCATAAAACAAAGTAAATATGAGACCAGTATGACCACGAGTGATGCAGCAACAGGACCCTTAAATTATCCTTAACAGGCAAACCCTTGCATTCTTCTGTTCTATTAATTATTGCACATTCCCTAAGCCTATGTGCAGTTTTAGTTATAATTATTGCACATTCCCTAAGCCTATGTGCAGTTTTAGTTATAATTATTGCACATTCCCTAAGCCTATGTGCAGTTTTAGTTATAATTATTGCACATTCCCTAAGCCTATGTGCAGTTTTAGTTATAATTATTGCACATTCCCTTAGCCTATGTGCAGATTTAATTATTGCACATTCCTTAAGCCTATGTGTAGCTTTAATTGCACATTCCCTACACCTATGTGCAGTTTTGATTGCACAATCCCTAAGCCTTTTATAATTATTTTTTAACTGCACTATCTGAGTTTAGCAGTTTAACAGCTAATGGCACAAAAGCAATGTTTTGAATCTGTTTCACAAGTTTACAGTTTGGGTTCCAGTGGCGAGTCTGACTGTTTTTTCCGTTTTGTGTAGTGCGCTGTGGACTAAACATCTGAAGAACCAAATAAAAAACTACTACTAAATATCCAGTCATTGTATACAAAGATATGACTCAATAAACACATGGGCTACTACATTTGGAACGGTAAGGAAAGGGTTCAGTGTGCCGTGCTTCACTGATACAGGCGGCCGAGAGACGTACGTGGTCCCTCCAGTGTGTCCTGTTTGCCTCAGAGTCTCAGTTGATTTCTTTCCACGTGGAGGAGCAGCGACTCTACTCAAAGCTCCTCCTCGTCCAGTATTTCTATATACACCTCTGTGTACTGCCTGTATATATTGGGGTCCATTGGTCCAGTATTTCTGCATTTATTGTTTTAGTACTAGGGCTGGGTGTCATTAAAGGGATGTTCACACCAGAGCGTCAAAAAACGCCTTGACGCCTCTATTTGGACGCCTTTGCATTTGAGTTCAGACGCCCCCGACACAAGTCTTTGACGCCGTGGACGAACAGGAGAAAAATACTTGACACACATCCGCTGCCCTGGAAACAAGAGCCCGGTCCAGGTCTTTTCCCAAAACTATGTCAGACCAGACTGAGAGACTTTAATGAAGTAAAGCATCAGCGGAGTTGATCAGGTCGATGGCTGGGGCGTATATATATTTATACTCCGCTAATGACACTAGATCAGTCCTGGTCTAGTCCTGGTCTAGTCCCGGTCTAGTCCTGGTCTAGTCCCGTGTCTAGTCCTGGTCTAGTCCTCATGATCCGGTCAGTGATTGTGGTTTATATATTTATGCTCTACTTAATGTTTGTGGCTCTGGTTTTCGGGTATTTCTCTTTCTTCCTGATAATAACATCTCTGCGTCTCTGGATACTCGTCCCTGATTGGTCGACGCGGCGCATCTGACACGAAAAGTTCAGCATTTTCAACTTCTGACGCTGACGCCTTGGACGCGCGTCTAGAGCATCGACACTGTTACGGCCCCAGGCCTTAGTTGTAATATTTCTGCAGAGTTCTCTTGATTCCTGCTGCACGAGCCCTGGTCTGTGATTGGTGGGGCAAGTCCACGCCCACTTCACCTGCAGCCACCTCCCCCTATTTAAGGAGATTACCAGCACCTGTTTGGGGCTGCTGGCCTTGGTGGCCAGTCTGCCATTTTGGTTTCGTGTATGTAGTTTAGTCTCATTCTGTTTTGTGCCTTTTTTGATTTGGTCACTCGATTCTGTTTGTGGGTTTATGTGGTTTAATTTGGGGAACTTGTGTTTTAGTTTAGTGTGTGTCCCTAAGTTTTACCACTTGTTTTTTTGTAAGCCTGCGTGACCCCTTTTCTGGCACAAAACTCTGTTTATTCTGTTGTTCTGTTTCTTAGTTTAGGTTGTTTTCTGTATATTTTTAGTGTTTTGTTAATTTACCTTTACATTCCTGTTAATTAAACATTACTTAATTTATTCCATGTTACATCTTGGTTTTATTTTTGTTACTTCCCTCACCCCAAACGAGCTGGGTCGTAACAGACACCAAAACGCTCAAGACGCGCCGTGTCGACACCAGATTCGCCCCACGCTGACACCCGAAGACGCGCCGCAAAAACGCAGGACGCCCTAGAAGCACGTCCACATCGACTCTGCATAGAAACTCGACGCTTTGACGCTCTGGTCTGAACAGCCCTTAAGAAGCTGCAGATATGATACAAACCTCGATACAAAGGCAACAACACAATACACATCTCGATACAATGAGCTAGAGGTCGTGCGTGACAGAATTTTCGGTCTGCATGACGTACGGTCTGCTTAAAATGTTTTATTAATGCCAAATTAAATATCCAGCACAAATGATGCATGATATGTTTACATTCCTCATTTATATATTTTACTTTTCACTCATATTTAGTTTGTGGGACTGTAGTTTATCATCCCGCTCGCCCGCTCCCGCCCGCAGTCAGTTTTCAAAATGTGTCCCGTGCCGCACTGTTTTGCGTCATGTCCCATGGAAGTGCAGGTACGATTTGACACGATAGTTTTTAAATAGATTCGATATGGTTCAATAAAAAATAAATGTAAATGTTTATGCGACACATTTGACACTGACAAATGTGTCACATAAATGAGTGTGTACACATGCACATCAGTGTCCCGGTTATTCTCCATATCCCGGTTCTGTCAGTATTCGTGTTACTGTGTTTACATGAGCACTGAGAAACCGGGACACTCATATCCGCGTGTACATGATCAAATGGAGTGTCCCGGTTTCTTGACATAATCTTACAAATGCGCAGGCGCAAAAATTAACTTAAATCAATTTCATAAACCAGGAAAAATACAAACCGTGAGCTCCTTTAGCATAAGAAGCTAAGGAGCTACGAGATCTCCCACAATCCACTGTGCAGATTCTTCATTAAAATCTTCTGCATAAATAAACTCAACTTTACAACATATAAACCATAAACACTATAGACACATCAGCCCGTTTGATCAGATCATTCAGCTCTGATCACATTTGTTTACATTTTACAGAAACGAAACTTAAGACCGTTTGGCTAATTAGCATAAACTGTTAGCGGCGATAAAAACAACTCGCTCCTTGCGCCGCTGATGTGATCAGTTTCTTTTGGACTAAATGACACGACTCTGTGGATTATGTGTGTTATTTCTGTGACAGAAGAGGCGCTGATGATGGTGAGTCTGTTCCGTGCATATAGAGTATAGGAGATAGTTCATGTTTTAGCTTTTCAGCGTCACACGTGTGCAGGTCGTACGTGTGCAGGTTTAGTGCAGCTCTTTATTTTACAGTCATTTCACTCGTTTGGTCACTTTATTTATGTTGGTCAATTTATTTATGTCACTACTGTTGTGGTGAAAGGCTGGAAAGTGTCTTTTGGACGCATGCGAACTCAACTTTATGTTGCAGTAACCGGGGATACTGCGTTTACATGCCACAAGTATCCCGGTTACTATCGGAATAAACCAGCTACAGTAACCTGGTTTCTAATAACCGGGACACTGCCATAACCAGGTACTGAAACCGGGTTACTGCGTTTACATGCACCATGAAGAAACCGGGATACTCAAAAAACCCGATCATAACCGGGTTATTAATGTGCATGTAAACACACTCAATGAGTTTCCTTCCTCTGAACAAACAACAAAACTGTAGCTGTAACAAATTTAGTAAAATAAACCAATAAATCCATGAGTTGGTACCTGGATCTGCTCCGGGGTCCACTGGTCCAGGTTGACTGACTTGACTCTGGAGATGTGGACTCCCAGGTTCCGGTGGATTCCTGCACAGCGGATGCACATGAACACACCCAGGTTCCACGAGGCCCAGCGAGGACCTGCACACACCAACACACACCAACACACACGCACACACACACACACGTACACACGCACACACACACACACACACACACACACACACACACACACACACACACACACACACACACACACACACTTCAGTATTTTACACACAATGAAAAACAAATCAAACACAAACATGATTTTCTTTGGAGTCAAACAAACGAAAGTCATCTGCTCAGTGCTGGGGAGTAACAGATTACATGTACCAGAGTTATGTAATCAGAGTACAAATGATGAGTAACTGTATTCAGTTACAGTTACTGTTTCAGTGAGTGGTAATTGGATTACAGTTACTTTGTTGAAATAAATGGATTACACAGAGGGATTTAACTGTTTTCACATTTGGGTTATATCCCTGTTTTTTTTTGTTGTTTTTCTGTAATTCCACTCATTGCTGAACACTAAACCAGGTCTAAACCAGGACTAAACCAGGTCTAAACAAGGTCTAAACAAGGTCTAAAACCAGTCTAAAACCAGGTCTTAACCCAGTACCAAACCAGGTCTAAACCCAGGACCAAACCAGGACTAAACCCAGGACCAAACCAGGTCTAAACCAGGACTAAACCAAGACTAAACCAGGACTAAATCAAGAATAAACCAGGACTAAACCAGGTCTAAACAAGTCTAAACAAGGTCTAAAACCAGGTCTAAAACCAGGTCTAAACCCAGGAACCAGGTCTAACCAGTCTAAACCCAGGACCAAACCAGGTCTAAACCCAGGACCAAACCAGGTCTAAAACCAGGACTAAACCAAGACTAAACCAGGTCTAAACCAGGACTAAACCCAGTACCAAACCAGGTCTAAACAAGGTCTAAACAAGGTCTAAACCCAGGTCTAAACCAGGTCTAAACCCAGTACCAAACCAGTCTAAAACCCAGACCAAACCAGGTCTAAACCAGTACCAAACAGGTCTAAACCAGGACCAAACCAGGTCTAAAACCAGGTCTAAAACCAGGTCTAAACCCAGGACCAAACCAGGTCTAAAACCAGGACCAAACCAGGTCTAAACCCAGGACCAAACCAGGTCTAAACCAGGACTAAACCAAGACTAAACCAGGTCTAAACCAGGACTAAACCCAGTACCAAACCAGGTCTAAACAAGGTCTAAACAAGGTCTAAACCCAGGTCTAAAACCAGGTCTAAACCCAGTACCAAACCAGGTCTAAACCCAGGACCAAACCAGGTCTAAACCCAGGACCAAACCAGGTCTAAACCCAGGACCAAACCAGGTCTAAACCAGGTCTAAACCAGGTCTAAACCAGGACTAAACCAGGTCTAAAACAGGATTTAACAGGACTAAATCCTGCTGTGTGGACGTGTCTCTTCTTCTTCTATCAATAATATTTTTAATTTGGTTCAGTAAAGTCTGGACTTTTTATTTTCTTTTATCAGACAAAACTTCTTATGTGACGATTTCCTCGTCTTTGTTTCTCTACAGCAAATCAAATAATCCAAAGTATTCAGATTACATTACTCACTTTAAGTAATTTAACGGATTCTGTTACAAACTACATGTTGGTGTGTGTAATCTGTAATCTGTAGGGGATTACATTTTAAAAGTAAACTTCTAAACACCGTCTGCTAAATACTTTTTCTGTCACTTAATCTGAGCATTTCCAAAACTGACCAACAGGAGGAGCAGGTCAGAATAAACACAACTCTACAAAAACATTTAAATGAGTTTTTCTGTCCCACTCGATCTGTCTTTGTTGTGAACCTTGTTAAGAAAATGGTTCAAAAACTCCAAAAAGTCGATTGAGCGAAAAACCCAAACTTGATTGTGGACGATAAAACTCTCAATCTCGATGTAAACGTAATTGTCCAGCTTCTCCGCTCAGTTTCTACATTTTTCTGGGTCAACGTCTGTAAACAGAGATGTCTGACTTCCCTCACCCCAGACACTTCCTCCAGCTCGCCTCAGGGTCCAGGAGAAGAGATTATGCAGCACTGCACAAGGAATCATCTACTACAGTATTTATACATACAGACCAGAACTAGACCAGAACTGAACCAGGTCTGAAACAGGTCTGAAACAGGTCTGAAACAGGACTAAACCAGGACTAAACCAGGTCTGAACCAGGTCTGAAACCAGGTCTAAACCAGGTCTGAAACAGGACTAAACCAGGTCTAAACCAGGTCTGAACCAGGTCTAAACCAGGTCTAAACCAGGTCTAAACCAGAACCAGTCTGAAACCAGGTCTAAACCAGGTCTGAAACAGGTCTGAAACAGGACTGAACCAGGACTAAACCAGGTCTAAACCAGGACTAAACCAGGTCTAAACCAGGTCTAAACCAGGACTAAACCAGGTCTAAACCAGGACTAAACCAGGACTAAACCAGGTCTAAACCAGGACTAAACCAGGTCTAAACCAGACTAAACCAGGTCTAAACCAGGACTAAACCAGGACTAAAACCAGGTCTAAACCAGGACTAAACCAGGACTAAACCAGGTCTAAAACCAGGACTAAAACCAGGTCTAAACCAGGAAAACTAAACCAGGACTAAACCAGGACTAAAACCAGGTCTAAACCAGGTAAACCAGAACTAACCAGGTCTAAACAGGACTAAACCAGACTAACCAGGACTAAACCAGGTCTAAACCAGGTACCAGGTCCAGGTAACCAGGTCTAAACCAGGTCTGAACCAGGTCTAAACCAGGTAAACCAGGTCTAAACCAGGTCTAAACCAGGTCTAAACCAGGTCTAAACCAGGACTAAACCAGGTCTAAACCAGGACTAAACCAGGTCTAAACCAGGTCTGAACCAGGTCTGAACCAGGTCTGAACCAGGACTAAACCAGGTCTGACACCAGGTCTAAACCAGGACTAAACCAGGACTAAACCAGGACTAAACCAGGACTAAACCAGGACTAAACCAGGTCTAAACCAGGACTAAACCAGGTCTAAACCAGGACTAAACCAGGAACCAGGACTAAACCAGGTCTAAACCAGGTCTAAACCAGGTCTAAACCAGGACTAAACCAGGACTAAACCAGGTCTAAACCAGGACTAAACCAGGACTAAACCAGGACTAAACCAGGACTAAACCAGGTCTAAAACCAGGTCTAAACCAGGACTAAACCAGGACTAAACCAGGTCTAAACCAGGTCTAAACCAGGTCTAAACCAGGTCTAAAACAGGACTAAACCAGGTCTAAACCAGGACTAAACCAGGTCTAAACCAGGACTAAACCAGGTCTAAACCAGGTCTAAACAGGTCTAAACCAGGTCTAAACCAGGTAAACCAGGAAAACCAGGACTAAACCAGGACTAAACCAGGTCTAAACCAGGTCTAAACCAGGACTAAACCAGGACTAAACCAGGTCTAAAACCAGGTCTAAACCAGGTCTAAACCAGGACTAAACCAGGTCTAAACCAGGTTAAACCAGGACTAAACCAGGACTAAACCAGGACTAAACCAGGACTAAACCAGGTCTAAACCAGGTCTAAACCAGGACTAAACCAGGTCTAAACCAGGTCTAAACCAGGTCTAAACCAGGACTAAACCAGGTCTAAACCAGTAAACCAGGTCTAAACCAGGACTAAACCAGGTCTAAAGGTCTAAACCAGGTTCTAAACAGGTCTAAACAGGTCTAAACCAGGACTAAACCAGGTCTAAACCAGGTCTAAACCAGGACTAAACCAGGTCTAAACCAGGTCCTAAACCAGGTCTAAACTAACCAGGACTAAACCAGGTCTAAACCAGGTCTAAACCAGGTCTAAAACCAGGACTAAAACCAGGACTAAACCAGGTCTAAACCAGGTCTAACCAGGTCTAAACCAGGACTAAACCAGGTCTAAACCAGGACTAAACCAGTCTAAACCAGGTCTAAACCAGGACTAAACCAGGTCTAAACCAGGTCTAAACAGGTCTAAACCAGGACTAAACCAGGTCTAAACCAGGTCTAAAACCAGACTTAAACCAGACTAAACTAAACCAGGACTAAACCAGGACTAAACCAGGACTATCTAAACCAGGACTAAACCAGGTCTAAACCAGGACTAAAACCAGGACTAAACCAGGACTAAACCAGGACTAAACCAAGGACTAAATAATTAAATTAGATAATTACATAATTAATATATGTAATTTAAGCTCCTCTTTACTCAGATCAGTCAAAATTGTGATAGTCCAGTTTTAGACCTGGTTTAGACCTGATGTAGTCCTGGTTTAGTCTTAGTTTAGTCCTGGTTTAGATCAGATTAGTCAAAAATAGGAGCATTTCTTGTATAAAACTGGAACAAATCACTGGTTTTGTATAAATCTGAAGGGACAGTGACACAGGTTTTTGAATTTCCCCCAAAAAAAAAAAAAAAGTCCAATATAAGTCTGATGCATTATTATTATTAAAATGAAGCTCAAATTATTATTTATACCAGTGTATTCTCATTAATTTGTTCATGTACACAGTGTCCACTCAGTCATTTTAGCTTTGGAAAACCAATTTGATATTTTCTTTCCAAAATTCCCTCCTTCCTTTCACTAAAATCCCTTTGTTTACTCCTCCTCCTCTGTTCCGCGCTTTCTGGTCGCTTCTAATATTACGTCTTTATGAATCGAGTGTGGTCTCCCGCTGATGTCATTTTCACAGAGCTTATATCAAACAAAGGGAGACGCAGACGCAGGGTTTAACGCCGACTCGTCTCTCAAAAGGACGAGCAGCAGGGGGCGGCAGAGCGGGAGGACGGGGCGCCGAGGGAGGACGGGCGCAGCAGAGGAGAGCTGAGGGAAAGTTTAAAACGTGAGAAACAACGTCAAGGACAATCGGACAAGAGCTCACGTGAAGAGGTTTGTTTAAGAGGAAGAGTTTAAATATGAAATGAATAAACAGCAGGGTTCTTCTAATCTACACAAAACAGACGGCGTCACTGTTTCCTCTCCAATTATTTATACATTTTTAAGAGGTTTTTGCAGAGTCGTGCTAAAACAAAGAGGGAATTGAGACTGAGAATTGTGGGTGAAAGTAGGGCGGG